GAAGGAAGTGCAAATTCAAGCACACTCCAATCAGTAAATACAATACAAATGTAGGTCACACCTGCAGCACGTGTTAATGCTATTAATAAGTAAATTACATTAATTTTATATTAAAATACTTTAATAAAAATGCAGTACACTTCTTTAATTTTCTTTACATAAATCTATTGATCCTACCAATTGATCTACTTTAAATATTATTTTAAAATATGTTTTTCTATAAGGGTTCCATCAGTTATAAAATTAAGCCACGTCTTAAAGGATAGGCCTTTTGGTTCAGTTAGTCTAACTGAAGTCCTTCGTAAGTCTATCTAGTCGACAGTGTTTGAAAATTACTGGATTATAGCAAAGCACGTATAGGCTATACAATAGATGCCTCTTAATGCGATCGCAGTTAATGTTATCATTCGGATAGTGTTATCGAATTGCCGAAATGCCACCCGTGTTCGTCCGAAAATATGGAAAACACCGTCTGTTATTAGATCAACGTTCGGTTAATGTTATCAAAATATTATAAAATGAATTTTTTTAAATGAAGTAAAGTTGCCAAATAAGGGCAATAGAGCAGGGGTACTAGGCGGTCCCCGAAGCAATTTTATTCAGCTCGCAAAGACAGTTATGTATTTGTTGTAAATACGATGATAGAAAGATTTTGAGATTTTAGTTATTTGAAGTTGAGTATATATTAGTATATTCATTTCCATTGCAATCGAAGATGAACAACGCATCAGAAAACTCATAAAAGGAGTTAATTAATTTGTTATACGTATTATAAATATTATTCAATGATTTCAAAGTATAGATTTCATTAACTTCATACCTGTCAAAAAATAAACAAGCTCCATTTCCAACTTTTGCGCAAGAATAATCATTTTCTTTTGGAATACTTTTATATGCAAACAGCTTTTATTCGTATTTGAAAACTAATAAGAAAAGAACCCGACTGATCGATTGGCATCCACAATCCGTTATGAAGATAATTTCCCTCCAATACTACAAAACTTATCAAAATTTTATATCATAAAGTGTCAAGGTGTAGTAAGAAATGAAGAGTTTATAATAATTTGCATAGAAACGTACTTATTTTTATTTATGGGCCTAAGAAAAATGCAATAACTAACAGAAAGAAATTATGTTTTCATTATTTATTGTTTCGTCCAACTTGGAAAAGTTATCTGAAACTTAAACATATTTCATAATTTGTTTATTTTTAGTTTAGATTTGAATAAATTATTTAATAAGTAGTTAAACCTGCTAAGAATTATTCGAAAGGAACTCTAAAAAATTAATATTTAGCTGTCAGTATATTTGAATTAAAATTTGTAACCAACCACTATCTGCCGCAGGTACCAAACTTTAGAATTCAGAGAGAAAATAAATAGAAATTTGAGTTTTTTTCTTTACGATATTATTTTAGTTGTTTATGTCATATTTTCATAACTATTTAGTAAGAGAAATTTACAATTTGTTTAAAATATTTTTTATTTTATTAATAATTTTTTTGATGTTGTTAAAAAGAAACAGATTTCTGACCCGTAAATTGTTTCCAGATCGTGCACGCGTCCTGCATGCAATTTGAGTTTGACATCACTGAAAGAGAGTATACAAATTGCTAAATGACAAAGGTATGTCACTAAGTAATGGATTAAATATCATCTTAAATAAATAACATGAATTGTGAGGAATTTAACTCTTGCGCGGTTATTGATGGGAAGAAGACTCAAGTTACATCAGCATCAGTGGCGAATGGGATTGTCGAAGGCTTTCTGAAACTAATTGAAGCACATTATGTGGTAAACTTTCTGCAGAATATGATGGTGAAATCGGAGAATTTCCTACAAATAGAAATGAGGGATGACCTACAATTATGAAGATTAGGGGTGTAACATCGATCAAATAATCTTCTTTGGAAGCAAAGCAGTTTATGCACATTTTTTCTCTAATGTAAAAACATTCCTAAAAAAAATCTACGCCATACTCAGTTTCCTTTTTCTCCCTATTTTAAATCTTACGTTGGCAAGTGTCCTTAACCAACTTTATTATATCATCCATAAAAAGGAACCTTTGGACATATTACTCTCAGACTGAATTTACTAATCCTAATATTAAAACCGCTAGGATGGTGGCGTGACCATGGAATGATGGCGTGACTCAATGTGGTAACTTGTGTTGGTTGCGTTTGATAATGCTGGGTATTACTTATTGCACATAGAACTAAAACACATTTAATATAAATTTGTGACGAGTTCTGTTAACAGTACATAACAACACTAAAAGTATAGAAACAATTATTTTAGGTTATTGCCTTCATTATGTGAGGATCTTGCTAACGGCAAGAGTCTGTCTAGTCGAGTATTTAAAAGCATTTTGAGTTATCTAGTCTTAAACAGTTTACAGATTTAATTAGTCACGTCCTCGTAGTTTTTCAGCTGTATTTACATCCTATAATTATTTATAGTTGGAACGATATCAGAGGCGCAACGGTATTATTGGTCCGTCAGGCCTACCTAGAATCGAGAGGCTTTAGTGACAGACACATTGCAGATCGCTGAACTCCCTTGACTTTGGCATAATGTTCTGATTCCTGTAATGTCAAGTGAAGTCGTAATTGAACGAATTACTTCTTCTGCAATGTCAGAGCCTGTCGTCTCACACCTCGTAACAGCTCGAACACTACTACCTGTGGAGGATCGCACACACGAATTTCTTATCTTTAAATAGTCGACAGCACCGTTAACACTACTACATGTGGAGGACCCGCACATATGAATTTCTTATTCTTTGAGTGGTCCACTGCAGCGCTTACACTGATAGCTCTATCCGGACCAAAGTTTCTGCGAATGGGTTGGCTGGATGAAGCATTCGGGGGTTTTTTCTATATATGAGGTTAATATGAGACAGTTCCCCTAAAATGTCCCCACGGAGGCAACTCTCTTCTTAAGCAGATAGCCTTCTCGTATTTTGTATAACCTTAGTAATAATAATAAATAATAATAAATTTCAAATATAAAAAGAAAGTTCGCAATATTTGTTTCGCAAAATGAAGGCAATTATCCTGATTTCTTTAATTGTTGATATTACTTGATATCAAAATTGACTGAAATGTCTTTGATATTTCCTTTCTACAGCTGCCATGGCGAAATTTAAAATGGTCTTGATTAAAAAAAAATTAAAACATAACGTTACCATGTTTATCTAAATGCACATAAATCTAACATCCTGTAAAATGTTTCGCTGTTCCACCTGGGCCTTTTCAGTCGGTGTCTTTTTCGCTATTCCATTCTTCCCACTTGGTTCAAAGATGTTTGAAAATGGTATTCTATAAGCAGCTATGCTTAATTTAGAAAAGAAATGGTAAGATTCTAAATATGGATTTACCGTGTGTAAAATGTGACTTTTCCTTTGGCATACTATAATAATCTATGTTTGTTTAATGCAATCTACTTTTCCCTGGTATAGGTAATAAGATCTATTGATATTCTTTTCTGTGGCTACAGGTAAGAACACTGACGCATGCATTTTTCTGCAGAAAAGTGTATGACACCTGCCTTTTGGTACCGAAAAAGATTAGAAATGCGTTATTTTAAAACAACTTTGAAAGATTGTGCAAATCGGAACTCACTATGTGTAAGCAAACAGCCAAGCAGTAAAATCACTGAACTCTGGAAGTTTGGACGGAATTCAAGTATGGGCCGGCTGCATGAAAGTTTTCATATCCTGTTTCCTCGCATGTATTGAGTCAATATGAGCCAGTTTCGTCCTTAAAAATTCCTCCTAGTTGCTGTCTCTTAGGCAGCTGATTATGTCCTATTCCAGGCTTTTCACGCCCAGCTGAGGATTTTTAAAAATCATGCCATTTCAGCTTTTCTTGATAAGGTGGATAAAAACGATTCTTATTTCAGCCTTTTAATTCAAGGTCAACGGAAAATCCAAAAGCGAGATGAGATCAAGTGACTGTGATGTATTTATCAAGTGATGTCAGAATGATTCTTCTGCCTTTAACCCTTTGATTACAATAAAAGTTTAAAAATTACTGCTGGATCAAAGATTGCTAAGAATCTCTTGAATGTTGGGGATCATCTTCCAAGAGTTGGAAAATCAAGATGTCGTTGTGCCCGTTGTACATAAATGAAATAGAGAAAAGGACAAATGTGAGTCGTCCAGTTACGCAAAGATTGCTTTACCCTGTACCATACGATGTAAATCTATTTCATATAAGAAAATTTTCCAGAATAAAAGGTGTGCTTATAGTAAGTCGATAGCTACGTGTGGGACATATGTATCCCATCATTAACTACGGCTGGGAAACATATATCCCAGCTTTTAGCTTGAAAACAGTTTGTCGAAAAAATCTCAAATGCTAAATTTACCCGATTTATGACATATTTTGTTCATTTGGATAGAAATCGGGGTAAATGTTTTTAAAACTTTCGTAGAGAAAGGATTAAACTTAAGGCAATCCTTAAATAATACATTAATGACATTTGTAATTATACCCAGTAGAGAAAACAAGAAATTTCTAAAATTCGAATACGATATAGTATTACTATTTTCTTAAAAATTGAAAATCATTAAAAATTGAAATATCGAAATTAAAAAAATTGCAGCCAAACAGAAAAATAAAAATTAGCTAGTAGCTATTAATTAGCTAGTATTAAATCTGTGTTAAAAATATAATTATCTAGAAGAATCATAAATTTCATGAGTGGCACTACTGACACAGTTTTTAATAAATGAGATGTTATTATATACTTTTAAAAATGGAAATCACGTTTTAGGAAAAAACGTGAAATTAAATTTAGGTTATTTGTTAGGTTTATTTTATGGAGCCTAAATGTGTGCGCCAGGAATCAATATAGACTGATTTAATTACCAAATCTGGATATTAATTTTACTTTTTAGGTTTTTCTTATAAGAACGAAATATTGTTTCGTCTTAGTATGATAGAGTTTTAAAATGTATTGACTAACTCTGGACTAAAATGAGCTTTTTGTTTTCAGTTAAAAATGAATCCATCGATGGAAGTGGAGGACCTGAAGAAGAGGTACTGCGGTCGTCTGCAGCATTCCCTGTTCCTGTCTCTACTCCTAATCTGTTTGTTCTATGGGGCTAGCTTCTTAGTTTTGGTAACAGTAGTTTATCCACATGTAAGTTTCTTAATCGCTTAAGCATTATCTCCTATCTATTATTAAATCATAAAGAATTTGTATGTATGTTGTTCGATTAGGGAAAGGTGGCAGCGACTTATAGCCACCAGATTTTGAACACGAATAATCCTCCTCCGCTGAACATGGGTACGTCGAAGTCTAAGTTTTGAAATTGATTTTTTATTTATTCTATATTTTATGTGAATTTAAGGAACTTTTGATTAAAAACTCAACGATATTAAAAAGTGTGTTTGCCACTAGACAAAACGTAATATATTTGTCTGTTAAATTTAATAAAAGACCTCAGTGACGTGTAAGAAATATGTTGCCACTATCCAGTTTAAAATATTTGTATTTTCACGCACCAGTTTGTTATCTATTATGTTATCACTAGTTTGTTATCTACTCTACATGTTTGGCGGAGTAAGATATTTAATTTTTCTTTGAAATGTAATGAACAAAGTAAACAATTCAAAAGCAATAAACGCAGATTAAATTCAGTTATTGTTAATTACTAGCTGTACCCGTGAAGGGTTCATTAAAATCATTATTCATTTTGCTACTTTTACCGAGAAAAGGACAAAATTCGCCAAAAAAGGACGAATATTTGCCAACTTTGGCACCATATCCAAATCACTACTGCAACGTTATGATATTGCAAAGTTTTAAGAACGACCATAAATAGGCTTACCATATTTTTGACGATCCAACCCTGAGGTATTTTTTTAAATACTTGAAAGTCTTAACAGTTTGCTGAAACATTAAAGCTTTTTATTGAGTTGTTTAAATTTCCCTGAATTTTTAGACATGACATTGTTTTCAGAAATGGTTTGTTTGTTTTAATTACATCATAGAATTCACCAAAAAATTTTCTGAATTGATTAGAAGATGTTTAACAGTAAATACTAAAAGTTTATTCCTTTCTGATGGCCACATTTTCTCCATAATTGAAAATACCCTCTCAGCTGGAGCACATGTCCTAGGCCAAGATATTACAAACTCAACGATTATAGAAAGATTGCAACACGAAATATCAGTCTTTTGAAACACCTTAAAAATTAATTTCTTATTCTCTTCAATAGTATCTAGCATTATTATTTCAAAATCTGAATCACAACATGCCCCTTGGTTTTGTATTACCTGGTTCAACAATGTACGTTCATCAAATACTAAGTCGTCAATATTTATGGAACCTTTTATTATTTAATTAACAACTTATGAATCTTGTTCTAAATCAGACCAGGCAATTTTAGTTTGTTAATTTATCCACTGAAACTTACTAACTTTATCAAAACTAGTTCTTCGCAACTCTAAATATTGGATACAAACGTTATAAAAATTGTCTACACATGAGAGGAACTTTTGTTCCTGAACGCCAATATTTTCTTTTGGAGTGCATAGCAATTCTTTGGCAGAAGATGGTATGCATTTTTGTGGATTTTTCTTTCCTGAAGTTGAGAAATAATTCAGAAAATGTCTGAAATGCTTCTGCTCATCCTGTGATAGAATTAGTTATAAATTTCAGAACTAGATTATGAAATAACTCTAGAGTACCATGTAAACTTTCAAAAATAATTTACTTTCTAGATTATCAAAGTAATCAAGTAATAACTTTGGGCACTTATCGTAAGATAAGAAAGAAGTAATTTTAAGCCACGCGGGTGACAAATTAAGGAACCTTGTGTTGCTATGAGATAACACTTTTTTGTAATCTGTTTCCAGAAATTCACAGAACTCTCTAAGTTTCTACTTTTATCCTTTCTTTTACTGAATATATGTGAAAATGTTTATAATTTTGTATAACAATAATTTCTATGTCCAGGAGACACATGGTTTGTACTGAATTGTGTACAATGTGATCTGAATGAGCAGATCTTAAAATATGTCTATCTAAATCACATTGAACTTTTCTGAACACATTTTCATTCCCCTTTCTCTGCACACTACTACAATTACTGTTGGTGTTATCATCGGAAGTAAAATAAAATAACCTTTTCTTCAAGTTTAAATTTTTTCACACACTGCACTCTTATGTGTGCCGAAACAACATCATTAATAGCATTCATATGTTTAGCTGTTTTTACGTGGTCTTCAATGCCATCCTTTCCTTTATATGCAACAAACAGTGAACAATAAGCAATTTCATTATTACTATCATTACACAAATTCAAAAATTTGTGTTCTTGTCAGAAAACATTAAACACGAATTTTGGTTTGCTCATTGTTAATAGATGAGACAAAAAACAAATAGCGATAAAATGGATAAAACCCTGTAGACAAGTTGATTCATGTACGAAAACAATATAAAATCTTTGCCCCTGTTGTGTTGCCAAGTGTCTAAGTGAAACGTTGTGGCTATACTGGTAGACAGCCCTTCGTCAAAATCGACGTCAGAGATTGCTTTAAGTTCCTCGGCCGTAAGAGAATGTTTAAAAATGCGATATTGAACGTATTGGTCTAATATTTAAAAATATCCTCGCCAGTCATAAAATTCTAAAACCCAGATGTTATCCCGGACAGCATTAAAGCCAGGATTGCCCGAGCTAATACTTGAAGTAGGGTAAGCCTACAATGAGCCGCAATTTCACTGTTATTTGACAGGAGAGAACGTTAATACTCCTGTTTACAAGGATGGAATGACCTTTGGACCCAAATACATACATGGTTAAGGCACAACCATATATGTATTTGGATCCTCCTACTCTCCGACAACCTAACCAAATTTTCAGTATTGAAGTTGTTAAGTATGCAAATGATACGGTTGTTATGATGAAATCGATCAGACTTAGCCAAGCAATTCATAATTTACAATTCAGTTTGAACACTGTTGCACATTTTTACGACTTACCGTAACTTAATGCAGATAAATGCAGCGTCATCCTGTTTAGACGTTACGAGAACAATCAATAATTGAATCTAAACCTCAAGATTAATAATCAGACTGTTCCGGTTCTTCATTCAGTAAAATATTTAGAAGCCGTTTTAGATAAACACAACTAAATTTCAAAGAGCACGTATTATATGCATTAGATTTTACGCATCAAAAGAATATGTCACTGTAAATTTGTCCTGTTTTATTATACGTCGTCTCCGTGTGGGCAATAGCGCTCAGGACGTACAGGAAGAAAATCATAACTCACCGTGGTTTGTGCGTAATCAATTTATTTTGAAATTCCACATGCACAAGAATATATTCTTGCAACTATGCTCATGTTCCTCAGTTAGGTGACTATATTCCTGCTATTGAAGATAACTTTAAATCTTACTCACAATTCATTACAAAGTAGCATATTAATCTGCATGTGACTGGATCTCTATATATTTGTACATATTTCATGGATCTGTATATATTTGTACATGTTTCATATATTTTTTTCATACTTTGCCTAAGTATCATTTATAACATTCTACATTGTGTAAAACATTAAGCTACGTTTCTGATTTTTGCCGTTGTTCCTCAGAAAATCAGCTGGAAGACATGAAATTCATAGTATAGAGGCAAAGTTTAGTATTTAAAAGATGCTGAAAATATAGCCGTCCTACCATGTGTAAAAGGTGTCCTGATATTTTCCTTTAGCCATAATGCATGTGCATTCCTGCTTTCATTTGCAGAAGGATGCCTGGAAATGCCTTTTCTTTCTTCATTTAAAGTTGCATTGCACTCCGTGCGCTGATTCTTCTGGTTTTGCGTGCCCTGATGTACCTTATGACAGCATGGTGCTGATATTTATTATATGCATCATCATTTTACTGAGTTGGCTTTTCATTATACTGATCAAGAAAAGCGCTTTTCAATGATTTCATGGTTGTATGTTGAAAAATGAAATTTTCCATATAATTTTTGGGCGCTAGTACATAAGAATGCCTAGATAGAGTATATACAGTGTCGAGGGAAATATATATAATAATTCTCACAATTCCTACTTTGCTTAAAAATGCTTGGTATCCTATAAAATGCCTAGGCATTCTATGGAATGCCAGTGTTTCATACATTGCCGATTACATACTCCTGTATACATTTCATGACTGAAGAGTACGCTGTGAAAAAAGTAAAATTGTTTCCGTCAATTATCTTCAAAGATGGCCTTTTTAAAAAATTTAATTTCAAACAAGGTGATTGAAAGATACTGCCACTCTTTGCGTTAGAATAAATGTTTCTTATTGTATAAACATTATTGTTGATGGATCGGAAAGCCTTATTTAACATTCCGGTAATGCACGAAATTGAATTCAATTATGCAGCACTCATGCGAGGAAAACGTTTAATTTTTTTCTCCGAGTCCATCTTTTTCTCAGTTCGTTATCATGGAAGTTTGATCCATTTATGAAAACGATATTATCTTTCCTGTAAAGGAAAGGAAATTACATTCTTGATGGAACTGTCGTTTGACGCTGACTGGAGATAAATAAATAAATTCTTCAAGGAATTTAAAATGCGGTGGCATGAAAAGAGATAATGGATTTTTGATGCTGAAACATTATATTTGCTCGACAGAAATGTCACATGATGCGATAACATTTCTAGCCACTTAAAATTCGAAAACCTCGACTGGAGTAATAATTTAACTGCCGTAAATTCCGAAATGAGCATTTACGGAAATGCTCATCTCGGAAAATGCTTAAAATACTCATCCCCAAAATCAAATAATATTTATAAAAGTAAGGATAAATGAAATGTACTTTCGGATTAATCAACAGTGGATGTAAACAGGCAATATCTTTGTATTTTCTATCTTTTTTTTAAAGCTAAATGGTTTCTGATGGTCAACCAAAATATTACCTTTTAAACAATGTGCTGATTTATTCCAGTATTTTCTCGGGCATTTGTCTCCCTACCTTTTCAGGTCCAGGTTCTGAAAAATTTAAAAACATTCTCGTTATTTTTCCCTTCTTCAATGTGTTCAGAGAAAGAGCTCCAATAAATTTAAAAATGGATTTGCTCATGAAGTGATTTTTTTTGTTTGTTTTAGTAACGATGACATCGTCAATTATCTGCGGAA